AAGTGAATTTTGTTAAATGAATGTCCAAGACATCGAGGATACTGGAAACCAATTAATCGTGACAATTAAGGATAATAAAAACCATTATCCTCGGAGTTTTATCATTGGCAAAGAGTATCATGGAATTGTTAAGAAATACACGGATTTACGCCCAAAAGACATCGACACGAGAAGATTTTTCATCAACTATCAAATGGGAAAGTGTACTTGTCAGGTAATCGGTAAGAATAAGATCAGCGAAGTACCAAAAATTGTAGCTATTTGTTTACGATTAGAGAATCCGGAGACCTACACCGGCCACTGTTTCCGACGTTTGGCCGCAACAATACTGGCGAACTCTGGGGCAAATATAACAACTGTCAAACAACTTGGCGGATGGCGATCAAGTACAACCGCCGAAGGATATGTTGAAAATTCACTGGCAAATCGACAAAAACTGTACCAGAAATTAATTAGTTCAGATCACAGCTCACCATCTACATCTACTGCTATTCAAACACCTTTACCTCAATTTAAAGACGCAAGACCAGGGGAACCTCATGAAAAAATGTCGACCGATTTACCTGATAACGATTCTTTTATCCTTACTGAATCTAATGAGAATTTCGAAGTCAATGAAAATTCATCTCCGTTGCAATCTACTGAACATAAAGATGTTGATAGTTCAGCAGCCGCGAAACCGAAAAATATACCAACAACAAAATCATCGCCTCAAATCGATGAACATAATCGCCGTTATTTGCAAGAACTTCAAAATCTCAATGCTAACAAGAAGCCAAAGACTCGTCGTTCGAAACCACAAATTGCTAACAATAATTCGAATGCAGCAGAAATTGAGAATGATGATGCTAATGATATCACTGTTCATTCGTCAAAATGGAAAAAAATACCATCAACAAAGTTATAATAAACAAAAATTATTATTGCAGCTGTCAAGACAAAAAATAATTTCTTTGCCAATCTTTAATTTGATGTTAATTCTTAAAATTTTACACCGCTCCTGTTATGATCATTAATTACTAAGTTTATTTACATTTAATGCAAATTCGAATTGTTTGCCAATTATAAATCAATGACATGTTGTATAATTTTATTATAATTGATTCGTTTTATTAAAAAATAAAATATTAATTTTTTTCAGCCAATATTCTTACTCTATTTAGTTATAAAAGGTACGTATACGTGTAAATATTATTGATTTATTAATTTAAGTATAAATCATAAACTAAAAAACATATATTGCATGGGGATGAAAGTTGACACATGCGCTCTAAATTAATTCGTCATTTGGCCGGGAAGCAATGTGGCACTTTCATTCCTAAAATTACAATTGAAAATCGAACTTTCAATCCAGGCGTTATAAAAAAAATTTTTTTATATGCTAATTATATATAAGCATATATAATTATGTATACTTATATATAATTATATATGGGACTACATATGATCTTGCATGGCTGTATATTGTTCCATATATAGTCATATATAATCCCGGGGAAAAAAAAATAATATATAATTATATAAAATTATATCTAATTATATATAGTTTGATCTAATTTCATATAAATCTATATAGTTTCATATAGTTATGTATAATATTCTATATATTATTTTGTATAAATATATATAATTTTATATGATTATATAAAATTATATATAATTTGATATATGATGGAAGGCTAGGGTTTAGATCGATAAATAATACGCAAGTATTTATATTTAAGAATACTTATTTATTAATAATTATAGAGAAAAGGTAAGCGAGGTGCTTCGTACAAAAGTAATCTCAAGAATAAACCAGCGTGCCCCGACCAAGAAGTCGGGGGCTCTCGGTAAGACGCTGAGCGCGCTCAAGGGCGGCTAATCAGGGAACTAAATATAGGCGTTATTTCTAACTATATAATTGTACAAAATTATATATAATTTTATATAATGAAATAAAATTTATTTCAGTTCATTATATAAAATTATATATAATTTTGTATAATTTGTAACGTGATAAATTTTTATTCGACGCCCAATACTTGGGGTATTATAATATTCCAGGCTCGAATCCAACGTTGTGAATGTTATGTGTGAATGAATGAAAATTGTACTAATTTTTATTGAATTTATTTTGTAAAAAATACGTAACGCTGGACGAGTAACGAAGACGGAACGAAGGGGAACGAGTATCAACGAGTAGAAGGAATGCTACGCATTGGAGTGACAAGGATGGAGCTACGACGTACCGAAGCGAATACCGAAGTGAGTACCGAAGCGAGCGAGGCACCGAGGGGCATAAACACCCGAGAGGTCTGAGGACAATCGACAATGCACTGCCGCATTTTTCCAATACGACGATCAACATCGATGACAGTTGGTTAGTCAGTACTGCAGGAGCAGAGGTGACTAAAAACTGTCGTGATGATCCGTTGACTGTTATACGGACCTAGATCAACTATCGACGGGGATTAATTCCAATGGAAAAGAAGACTAGCGCCGCCAACTTCAATGAAGGAAGAAGTAGGTACTTCTCCATGAAGAAGACGATTCGAGGCTGGACTGTCGATGTACACGGACGCGCTTTTGCGCGCTCCGCAACCTAAAGTTAATTCCGAAGTTATGTCGCGATTTTGCTTATTTGAAATTAATTTGTAACTTGTTGTAAAGTATTAATTTTCTAAATTTAATTATTTAACGAGTCGACCGCATAAAGCTTTTTCGAGCTGCTGAGATGAGGACGACGCTCAATTTCTTGGTAAGCCGACGTTCTTGTTCAGTGTTGAATCCAGCGTTTTTGAGTCCACGTTGTAATTTTGTAAAATATCTTGATTAACAAAATAATACGCGAGGATTCAACGCTTTACGATTATTTTTTTTGTAATGCTGTTATTACAATAGTGTGATTAACGATGTATGAATGTAAATGTAAGAATTGAAGTTGAGATAACGACGTTTATTAATTTTAATTTTGTTAAAATTAAGGGCAAATTTAAGTTACGACGTTTTTAATAATTTTTGTTAAAAATTAATATCGACCGCCGACGTATATTTTGTTGAATAAATTGTTATTTTTTTTAAATTCTCCTAAATTTATTTCAAGTAATTTTAAGAATTTCGTTTATTTTGCTGTCCTTTTTTTTACGACGAGTATTTCAGCATGGCCCGCCGCCCTGAGGAAGAGGTAAGAGCTAGCCGAAGTCGAAGCAGTAATTAATTGGAGATCATTCTCCTGGCGCCCTTTTATTAATGATAATTTTTTTTTAAGTAAGCCAAATTTTAATATAAACGGTGAGCCTGGCTTGGTAAATCCCCGGGTCAGGCAAAATCCCGTTATAAATTATATAAAATTTTATATAATTATATATAAATATATATAATTATATAAGAAGTATACAACAAAATTTTATAGAATGTAGAGTTTTTTGCTGTGTACAAAAG